CATGATCTAATTGAAAAGTGCTCTCTAAAATGGAGAAATAACTAGCATGAGAATCAAACAATCTAGCCATCAAAACAATTGAACAAGCTACAAATTTAAAGGAGTGGATGCTTGTTACTAACCTTACACCAAGAAGATAATGCCCATCCTTCAAAATCCAAGACCTTCCAGGAGCATTTTGGTGAAAAATGGCCGCAACAATGGAGGGAGAGGTGGGAAAAGGCACCTCCTTGGATGAGTGTGCTCAGGATGGGAGGGAGGAGGAAGGAGAGTTTTGTACTGTATATATATCACTACCGGCTCAAGCCAAAAGCCGACAGTGATAGGGACCTTCACTGCCGGGTCATTAGGACCCCAATCATTTTTTGAATTTTCAAATTGTTGACACGACAATGAAGGGTCATCACTCTTTGGCTCTTTTTAAAACCGGTAGTGATGGGGTGAAGTGAAGGTCGATTCAGTAGTAGTGAAGGCTAAGCGGCATCGGCAAAGGCCTACCACGTGGTGACCGGCGCCAGGAAGGCTGAAGCCCAAGGATTGCAAACTAGATCTTGCTGGTAAGGTGAGATCGTAATCTAATCTAATGCACAGCTGCTGGCCAGTAAAGCACTACTGTACTTAGACAACCCTTGCCTATTTAAATTGTTTCGCTCTCTACGGCGGCCCCTGGCTTTCATGTCCATGGCAACAGACCCTGTCATGGTCCCCGATCATGTACTACTCCCCGGATAATGGCTACACCCACTCTCTTCCTCTAACACTTTGGCAATGTGTTCTAGGCTCATGTTCATTACCCAAAATAGTGTCACTGCCCCCCTTTTAAACTAGTAACTCACCTAAACAAGTTATGCTACTCGTGCCATCAGTCAAAAGGTCCAAACAGAAGCATGTTTGCATCAAACTGAGCCATATATGGGTCCTATCTAGGGCTAGACGGCTCTGATGTCATTGATGGGTTGCTACGATCGTCTAGCTCAAGAATAGAACTACAAATATATAAGAAATTAGGGCAAACATACCTTGGCTCGAGGAATATGCCACCCCTTAGCTTGTAGTTGCTGAAGATGGCATCAAGGGCTTGATCTCGATAGAGGAGTGATCCTCCCATGGTTTCTATGCAGCAGCTAGATTAGGTAGCTAGCAGGTGCGGATCCAATGTAGGTGTAGGGGGTGCTCAAGTGCCCCCTACTCCCTAGGGTCCAGTGGAACCTCCCATAGCCATCTCTAATTTTTTTCTACCATAGATTGAAGCTTGGGGGTAGTAGAGGTTGAAGAAATGTTTGGGTTGAAGAAAGGTGTTATTGGTCTAGTACCTTTTATGTTCAGCCCTCCCTAATTTTTCCCCTGGATCTGCCCTTGGTAACTAGGGCAATAGCTTTTGTGCTTGCTCAAGATGCCTCGGTCCTTGAGGGACCTTTCCCATATATATATAGGCACAGCACCACAGGGGTGACCCACCTGGTAGTTGCATAGTTGGCCACCAAAATAGGCACTTAGTTAAGTTAGCTTTTGTTTTTTTTTTCTTCCAACTAGTTTTAACCGACAGATCAATATAACAAATGGCTCATATGTTTTTAGTCTTGGTTTTTTCCTGTTTCTTATTTTTAAAGGCTATAGTGTTTTCGTACATTTACCAATGTTACTTACTTTGCTTTTTATTTTTCTTGTTTACATGGATTTTCTAATTCCTTTATTGTTTCCATGATTGTCTGTTTTCTTGTCTAGAGAAGACATGTCTTTTTTAGGTTCGTGGTTTGCTGGCAGTAGATGTAGCAGACCAAGAACTGGTGGCCATCAACTGATGTCGTCTTGGTAGTCGACAGAGGAGACTTCACGGTTTGGGAAACAGTTTCAAATGAGTTGAACCCATAGATAGGTGACTGGTTTGGTTTAGTTTGGGCTGAAAAACCATCAAGGTTTGGTGTGGGGTGGTTTCTGGCGGTGGAGAAATGGTTAGAGGTGGGTTTATAGGACTTGCATGCTGGAATTAGATAGGTGTGGATTCAGTTTGGATTCCATCCCTTTAGCAGGGCTAATTCTGAGCAAAATTTATGCTATAGATGATCTCTTATTTTTGTTGTTTTGAGAGAAAATTTTCATGGGCAGTAGATGTCGTCCTGGACATAGAGAGAGGGATTGTCGCTTTCGATCCCTATCTCCATCCTCAAGAGCCCGCTCCTCTTTTGTGCATCCCCAACCACAACGCCCTCAGCAAACTCAGAGTTGGGCTAATGTCGTGGACATGTCTCCACCGAACACCGCGGTGAGATCTTCATCGCAAGAACTTCGCAAATTGTCATCAGAGTCACATCCTATTGACAATAACACCAACCCGGGTTGTCGCTACTGCTACGGTGCCTCTCCTACTTCGACGACTTTGAACATCCTGCAACGCCCTAGAGTCCAAATGGCTTAGATCCACTCTACAGGCTGAGTGAACCACACCTACCACCATCCCACTTACGCTTTCTTCCTCGCTTAACATAAAATGATTAACCCGGGGATGGTGGGATGGACTATACTGGGCCAGAGGATGTCACATACACCCCCCTCAAAGTGCCCGATGTCCCCGTCGGCCCAACACACCCACAATCGGGCAAACAATGACCAGGAACGTTCCCTTCTTAGCACATGCGACCTTGCATCCAGTGTTGACACATATGCCATGCCGTGCACCCCGTAGGGCCTACACGCGCAATGAGCCCCATGTTCACACCCATAACCCACATGCGCCCGTGGCTGCGAAGGTCGGTTCTGATACCATTTGTAACGCCCCAGAGTCCAAATGGCTTAGATCCACTCTACAGGCTGAGTGAACCACACCTACCATCATCTCACTTATGCTTTCGTCCTTGCTTCACGTAAAAGGATTAACCCGGGATGGTGGGATGGACTATACTAGGCCAGAGGATGTCACACATCCAGTCCATGCTCGCACCTTTGGTGGAGTCCTTGAGATCAGAGCTCTAGAACTTGGTTGATGTTCATTCAGACGAAGTGATGCACCCCCTCAGGGAGGAGGCTTCTACCATTAAGTTGAGGCTAGCACGTGTGGCCACCCATTGGGACTACCATTAAGTTGTGACTAGCACATGTGGCCACCCATTTGGAGTCCGTGGAGCCTTATGGAGATCACACTTCTGTTTCTGACATGGTCTAGCTTTCGGTCTTCGATTCTCTTGCAGCGGCTTGCACATATACTGACTTCTTAGCGTGTGAGGATGCACGTGCAAACGCTACAAACTCCGTCGTTGATGTGATGACCACTAGGATCTCTGTTGCGGATATTCATAGGGAGAGAGAGAGACCCTATTTCCAATGAGGTGGCTACAAAGATGTGTGACACAGAGATCCACGAAATGAAGCCCATAGGGCAGGTTGTCTAGGTCCCTCAGGGATTGCCTCTATTCCGATGATAGATAAGACATTGCTACAAGTTGTCACCTCTACCTAGGATGTTGTTCTTGTGGAAGACACATCTGATGATGAGGAAACTATCTTAGATATACAAGTGACAATTCAAGATCCCATTTTTCTCATCACCTTCGAAGATGACGCTTCCCATTCTATGCCTGAGGTCAAGGAAAATGAGCCCCCGCTGGCAGAGCATCCAATAGTAAAGGCAACATCTTCTTTGTCCACCATAGCTAGAAATGGTGAGGACCTTGCATCCCCTCCTATAATTCCTCCTTCATCACCGACCATGACAGCAAGACGCCAGCGTAAGTCCTACAATAGATCTCACTTCGTCAAAGTGCTCGCCTTGCTCAGCATAGTGTTTTAAAAGATTTGGGCATTGTGAGGAATGATGGAAGCTCAACAAGGACACAATTCAAGACTATGCAGACCGCCTATAGGAACTGTTACCACCGGAACTTCTCAAGCCTTTGATGAGGGTAAAAGGTTGTGCCTTCTGGGACTTGTTGGCGGAGTTTTTTTGCCTTTTCGTTAGATGTTGTCTTCTTTTTGGTTGTTGCTGGTGTTCTTATGGCATTGTTGGTGTTGCGAGTGGGTTCTTGTTGACAAAATTGTCCTAGTTGTTGTAGTAATTGTTCCATTTGTAAACCTCCTTCGAGGGCCATTGTTTGTCCAGTTTGGGCCTTCTTCTTTATCAATATTGGCAGCTCTCTGGCCCGATTTGTTTTAAAAAAATAAATATTTTTATTGTTGTTTTTGTGACGGTAGCTATTGTGATAAGATTATATTTGTAGAAAGATAACTCATTCATTCGTGACAGTAGTAGAATCTATTCAGTAAAGGAAGGAGGAAAATGATAAAAGATATGTAGAAGTTCTAAAACGACCTATGCTTAGAGAAAAGTTGAGAAGGCTAAAACAACCTATATTTGAAATCGGTGGGAATAGTTCGATGGCAATGAGTAGCAAGATGTCGGTTTTATGCCCATCATTTTTCTTTCCTCTTCCTCTAGTCTCCCAATGGATTTATACCCTCCTCAAATATATGGATTTTAGATCTTTCAAAAAAAATCCGGATTTTAGACTATTGGCCCTTTGTCATCATGTTATCTATAAACTCTTCTTTCTCGTTCCTCTAGTCGTCTTCTAACTTCGGCCATGATGCTTAAATCAAGCTCCTATGCCCTCCACCTCCTCCCCTACTCCCCACTGGAGCGGACCTTCCTCCCCTTCACTCTAGAGCCCAAAATTCCAAATCTCACCAGAGATGGAGGGGACAAGGTGAATCTTGCTAGAATTGGATAATATTGAGTATAAGAGAAATTTTAGACATACGTAGAAGTACAAAAAAAACCTGCGAAAATCTGAATACTATCGTGAAAGAGCTCCTTTGGAAAATACCTATTTTCTGTACTCAGAGAAATACCTATTACTATTGCAAAGGCAACAGTTGTGCTTGTATCAAGAAAAAGAATACTGTGAGTTGCAAAGCCGAAAGGTATGCAGTACATTCGCAGAAAAGACACGTACAGATACCAGTAGGTACAAAATGTACACGGTGAGATCAACAACTATGTATGGTTCCTACCAACCACGTGGCTGCACGCTCCGGCCATGACCGGCGCCTCCATTTCCGCCTCCGCGGCTGCCGTCTCCTGTCCACGGCGCACTTCCAGGCGGTCGGAAACTGTATGCACCGCCGTTGTCAAACCAGCTGTCCTTGGGGCTTTGCGCCATGTCCACCCAATGGAAACCTTTCCTATAGCTGTCGCCGTAGCTGCTGCTGCTGCACCGTTGCACCTCGGAGGCAGTGCCGCTCCCTGCCCCATGTCCGTAGGTGCAGCTACCGGTGGGCTTCGTGTGGGCGGCGGCACCGGCACCGCTGTTCCCTCTCCCCCGCCCCATCCACCCTGTGCCGGCGTGCTTGTGCTCTTCCCGCGGCGAGACCGGCGTGCTCGGCTTCCAGATAGTGTCCGGCCTCTGAAGTCTGCAAGCCAGCAAGTGGTACGTCAACCAACCATGAGGAACAAACAAGCAACTAATCGATCATGAGAATTCGTGGTTCCAGAAATGGAGTTCCATTTACATGGGCGCTGGCGGCCTTGAGCCCTGGTACGTGTGCCAGAGTGGCCTCTTCGAGATGTGAGCTCCCGTAACAGTCTGCATGGTTCAGGAATTCCAAAGACGATGGATGACCCATCGATGATGAGCTCCAATTGTAAATAAATTGGAATAGTAATAAACAACTTACTAGTATCATTATCATCATGAACATGAACCCACCTTTTTAGGTACTCTGACATTGCCAAGTAGTCTTGGAATTGGGTTTGCTGCCTCAGGGTTGAAGAAGTTAGCTGATCTGAAACATGTGTACCCAAAATGTAAGACAAAGCTAGCTACCACGAGGCCTCAAGACAGTGAGGCTCGAGAGAAGACATACATTGCCTGATCATTCGTGATGTCCAGCAGATCTTTTATGGGTGTGCGAAGGGAACCGCTGCTGAAGCCACCATCCTCATCAGGCGATATCCACCCTCCAATTCCACTATTTAAATTTAAATATTTAGGCCATTGCTCTGAACAAAATGTCAACTTAAAAACGTGTTGGTACTAATTCACATAATTCGTTCAGAAATGCACCTCGCAGCCGAATCTATCGGAAGCTTTTGCGGTGAATGGTATGATGTTTGTACAATGACTTCAATGTGTGGCAGAGATTTTGAGTTCCTGTGCAGGAAGATCTTCTCTTGTCGAGTGGTATTCCGTTTCGATTCATGAACCTAATTTAGTAACAAGCCCCTATGACCATGGTTTTTGCAACAGCAATAAAAGCCCCTATGAACCTAATTGTTTTTACCGTGAGCTCTTTATCTACCACTCTGGTAGCCGAAAGCAGCAGTTCCTCAGAGATACCCTGAAACAGTATTTCACTGAAAATCAGCATCGCCAAGTGCATTGCCATTTGATCAGTACTAGACTGTCAACCCGTGCACTAGCACGGGTTAGAATCTTAGAAGATGCAAGAATTATTTAGGGCCTTTTCGGTGGAGCTTCACCTGACTTTGGCTTATTGCTACAGTAGCCGGTGAAGCAAAAAATAATGACCTCACCAGCTTCTAGTTGTTGGGAAAGAGGGGGAGATAAAAAGAGCTATATAAACAGGGACTGAACAGTCATAAACAGTGTAGCCGTAGGTGAAGTCGTTAGAAGCTCCACCAAAGAGGGTCTTATTATTTAATACCACTAACTAATTAAAAAATTACTTAAAATAAATTGTATGTTTATATCTTGAATATGCAATTAGTTGAAACCTTGGCATAAACTATGGTGGCTTTTGTTGCATCCCATATCTTATGATGTCATGAATCTAAATTTTTTTAAAAAAAAAATTTATTCTTATTGATTGCTATAGAGTTTTTATCCTTAAGTTAATTTAAAACTCTTGTTCCTATTGCATCTTTTATTAACTCTCCTTTTTGTACTTTTTAAATAAGAATTTTAGAAACCTGCATTGTTAAATACTATGCTAACATAAGTGATTATTTGAAACCTGCGCATGTCCCTTAATATAAGTGACAGAACTTGAACTTATATCTCCGATAGGTAGCAGTGCTAGTATCAAGAGGATATTAATATTTGAACCTTATAATGATTGACTGTTTACTCTTAAGGAATCTTAAAGGACGAAAAAATATGGCTACCGGCGGCCTCTCCTACTTCTAAAAATGATTGAATTTTCCAATCAAGGAATTATATGTATAGTAATGGTTATACTATCAATAGTTGTATCAAACATTTTAATTAAAATGTAAAAATATATCTACACTAACAAACTATATAAATTATATGTCATGGTTACTAATGTGGTTTTAAACAATTTGTTAATGTCATTACTATATGAGTTGTTAAAGAAATATTTTTTATGTGTTAAAGAATAGACCCGATAGCTATTATTATGAATGGTGATTAGATTCTACCAAATTGATGGTCCGGTGTTTTTTTATTTTTGTGAGAATTTATAGGTTCTATCTTTTTTTCTATCGGGTCTCGTGAGGATCAATGTGGAGCCTCCATTGGTGGCCTCTAGTAAATTTATAGTATTTATCTTTTTTTAGCGTGATATGTATTTAGTTGAAACCTATAGATAAGATATATAAGCTCTTGCAGTTTTTTCTATACGTTAAGTTGGAACTCTAGTGTTTTTCCACCCGGTGGCCGTACCCGAAGAGGTCCCTTGGCAGCGCGCCGGTGGCAGAGGCGTTCGCCGCCGCATCGACGTCGTCCGCACCCAAGCAGAGCGCAGCGCCGGAGACGAGGACGGTGCATGCTCGGAAGCCCCCCGCGGCGAGGTACGGCGCGGCGGTCGCGTTGGCGAGCCCCGCCTGCACCGCGCTACCCTGCGGGCCCCAACATCAGACGATCGCGGACGCGTTGGTCTCGACGAAGGACGAGACCTCCCTGGATCCACTGTCGGGAAGCGCGCCGGCCATGGATCCACCACGGGAGGGGGGCTGCCATGGATCTAGCCGCCCTCCACCGAGGGGTGCGGCCGCCATGGATCCGGCCGCCCTCCACCGGATCCAGTCGCCAGGGGCGCGCCCACCATGGATCCGGCCGTCCTCCATCGGATCCAGCCGCCGGGTGGCACTCCCGCCATGGATCCAGCCGGATCTGAGGTGAGGGAGAGGGGTTGCGCCGCCCGCTGATGGAGGAGAGCCGTGCTCCTTCCAGCCGGTGGAGCCATGGAGGTAGGGGAGGAGGGCGGATCCGTGACGCCACCCGCTGCTGCTGCTGCTCCGTGCCGCCGGGAGGGGCCGAGCCACCCTGCGCCCTGCCCGACGCTGGATCCGGGAGGAGCCACCGTCGGGAGCTGGGCCCGCGCTCGCGGCAACCGCGCACCACCGTCGGGAGCCGTCGCGGGGGAGAGTGGAGGAGAGAGGGAGGGTTGGAGAGGGGGCGTGTCGGGCGCCGGGAGGGGAGGGGAGGGGGCGCGTCGCTGGGGAGGAGGCTGGAGGGAGAGAGGATGGTAGAGGAGGGGGATTGGAAGGGTATGAGCGGACAAGGGTATTGTCGTCCTTTGGTCTTATTGTGAAGGGATATAACTGACGGAGTTGAAAGTAAGGGTAAATTGAGCATTAGTAGTTACAAAACAGGGGTAAAATCACAACGACGACAAAAACGAGGGTAAAATCACAATTGGACATCAAAGTAGGGGCAAAAACACAATATTCCCTTTTTATAATGGTAGAGTTGAGTAATTTTTTTATAAATTAGGATAGATCCAATGGCTATTATTAGTAATGATGATTAGGGGGTTACTTTATGTTTTTTTTCATAATAACATATGTGGGTAGTTTTTTATAAATTAGGATGGATCCCATGGTTATTATTAGTAACAATAATTAGAGTATATGAGATCAAAGATTAGATGTTTTTTATTATTATAAGAATTAATAGGATTTATCTTTTTTCTAGCGTGTCTGGTAAACATGGTGCTTTAGTTAGACGAATAGCTCACCTTCCACAAGCAAGCGCGCTCGTAGCGCAGTGGTAAGCTCACTGGTGTGCGAACTCTCAACGCATGGAGCCGAGTACCGCTGTATCCACGCATGGAGCCCACAAAGGGGTACGGCTGCCTCTAGATGAGGCGCCAAAAAAAAAAAAAAACTCACCTTCCACAGGAAACGTTTCCCATTCGTGTTAGTCACCAACTTCAACTTCGGATAGTTAAAGTCTTCGCGGCCCATTAATTTCCTGTAACATTCTGGGAGAGCAGACCAGCTGGGAAAAAGTGGGGAAATGATTAACCCTTATCATAAAATCTCAATAGGTAATTTGCATGGCAGCAGTAAGAAATGGTGAACGTGCCTTCGTGGTGGCAAAACTGCCATGAGCTCATCAAACGGCCGTAGAGGTTTGTCCAGAGTGAAAGATATCTCGAACTGAGAAAGACCTTTGAGATCGGAGACGAAAGGAGAAACAAAAAATGGGTAGTACCTGCGACAAGTTGTAACATAAGACGTAGAATGGAAGCATATTTATGAATGAGATTGAGATAAATAGAATCAATAACATTATAACAATGAAACAAACTATTGCTCAGTGTATGCAAACATTTCATTCTTACCAGCTCCATGATGGAACGTCGGCAAAATAGCATTGAAGCACCCAACAAAGTCCTTCTAAATACTTCTGAGCCTGAATTCAAAGGGGGAAGGAGGGCAGATTATAACAATATATAGAATGCCAACATGCCACAACTCAAGGGATATATAAATAAGGAAAACATAACCATGTCGTTCTGCAGCTTTCCTATTTCATTCGAAGTTTGTACACCGAAATACTCCCTGAAGAACCGGGATTTCCATCCTGGTAATCCCAGTCTTATCTGCAATAGATATTTCAAAGATTGTAGCAGGACTGCAGGAGAAATACTAAGTATTTATCCACATGAGCATCACTAACTCTGTCATATGGTTGTTCTTCATTAAATTGTTGCCTCAGCTCTGATCTTTCACTTTCTGAAGCTGTACACAACATTTCGCGACGCATCTTCTGCAAGGAGTCCTAAAGGCCAAAACGAACATATATATTATTGACAACGACAATAAATTCCATTTTGCATCAAGGTACACTATTGACTAGAATGCTAACATGCCTGCTCCAGTTCATATCTTTTGCGAAGAATTCTCTCTTCATACATGGACAGTTCATGAAGAAATATTTCCAACCTTGAGACTTCCAGACACGCACCATGTTTATCTTTCACCTGTTTTCAGTATTTTCAATGAAACTACGTCACAGCATAATTCAAGGGATGATCATTTTGATGAAACTAAGAGGCTGGAATTCTCCAGTTACTTTGTCTGTGTTGACTATATACCCTCCCATTTTGTTGAAGGTTGTTTTGTACACTTCGATGAGAAGATCAACTGCACCCTGTCACATGGAACAAACGAAAGAAAGATCTACATCTTTTCATAGTAATGAACAAAGTGAAAGGATATATGTAATGAAAACAAAATTAACTTTCGATTTAGCTGTTACTAGTATAATCTAAAGGCATATATATGCACACACATATACCTCATGCGCCTTAAGTGATGGAATATGTGGGATGAAATCGTTTCCTATCAAGAAACAAATAAAGATGAAGTCATCTATTAGCCTCTCAGTATCAGGTTCGCGGACTGGGTCCAGTATCTTGAAATCAATCTCCAAGTACTCTCTCAGAACCCATATGTTCAAAAACTGAAAGAAGATGGCGTTATTCACATATATCAATATATGATGAGTAACAACTGGCAATTATGTGCCTATCTGAGGTTAATTAGGGGTGGTGAGGAGGACCAGATATTGTTTCTTCGGTTTCCCTTGTGTTTCTGCCTGATTTGGGGGTCGCGTATCCTGTTGAATTTAAGCATAAGAAGAGGAGTCCACACCACTATAAATAAACTGCTGAACTAATTGCTTTGATAGGTAGAACTTTACATACTGCCTAGCCTTGTATATAGTATATATAATAATAATAGCTTAAATATGCCTTCTATATATATATGACGCATTTTTGTCCAATCATGAAGTTAGCACTGATGAGAGATCAACATACCGCACGCAAAATAGAGAAGTGGACTTCATGAGATGCCAAAGCAAGCATGATCAGATCCGCATCCTGCAATTATGCTTCACAATCACAATTAACCCGGCCAGTACAAATAGACAGGGTGCGAAAGCGAAACTGGATCGATCGGTACAACATTCGAAATGATGAGACAGTCAAGAAAAAGGATTGATATGATGTTCCCTACATGCCCATACAAGCAGTGTCGAGTGTTGGGGTCATAGCCTTCCATGCTGCGTTGCGCACGGATGAACGACATGATCTTGTGCTCCCCTTCTCCAGGAACATTTGCATCGGAGAGTATTACCTTCAGAACAGAGATGTTGTGAACTTATCAAGCAACATCCTTGTAAACAGTTGTTAATATATATTATTATGTAGAGTCTGTGATTAGATTAGATACAGCATGCGTGCGAAACGGTTGAAATGATGAACAGGAACTAGAGAGCAAGCGCAAACCATGATATCTTTCCACCCGGGGTCACTATTCAATCTGGCACGGATGTAATAGTCGAGCGCTTGTGATATCTTCTCCATGAATTCAGTTCCTGGTGTGATGACATTGGGGTCAGGAATCTCGGAAGTCTCTCGCGCTGGCACCTCCTTCCCTTGATTCACCTGTAAATCGAAGCATGGACACATTTTCTTGATTATTATTGCTTCAGCAGCAGACATACAGTATCATCACGATGTCGATGTACGAAATGAAACGCAAGGATTTACCCGTCCACCTCGCACTTGGTACATTTTGGCGCAAGGAGCGACGCCATCTGCACTTGGGAAACCAAACAGAAAAGCGCATGAGCAGCAACGATTTATTGCTCCATTTGGCTAACAGGGAACAAAGTTGTTTTTGACAAATGTCGACACAAAACTCTTCTATAGGAACGCATTGGCTTCGATTCTGGGGCCAGTTGTAGCGGTGTGAGGCACACAAGATGGAGAATGCGGCAATGTGTTTCTTCACGTCCTATGGATGGCCTTTTATTTTCAGAAGAATTGAGCCAGTTTTGTTTTGTTTTGTAAACTCGTTCCTATCGTCATAGAGTGATTTATTATAATAATGTGGCCTGATTCCTTTGTTAGAGGATGAAGTCGGATATTCGTTCCATTATCTAAAAAAATAAATTCAATTTGATATCCAACGATGTATACATATAAATATACACGCACCTACTGCCAAGTAGAGGAGCCTTCTCGGCCGGACGATGCGGAACAAGCGATCCATGTCTCCGAACATGGACTCGAACACCTCGTGGAGTGTCATCGGAGGGGGCACCTGCACGCGCGCGCACACACTAATACCGGAACTACTGAAAGGCAGCTCAAGAACAGACGATTGAGAACAAACAACGTAAATACTGGCAAGATCCAGGCAGAGTACATGCATGGATTGAAGCGTGTACGTACATGTATGCGTGTATACTTCTGGTCCTGCGGGTGGAAGCAATTATGGATGATCTCATTCATGTCCAGGTAGAGGTTGTCGTAGATGAAATTGCCATTGCCACCATCAGGTCCCTCTGGTTCTTCCTTCGCGGGGGAGACGATCCTTGGGTATTTCATCACGGCCCACCTGTAGAATTTAGGTATTCCCATGGCAGCTGTCCAGGCCAGCTGCAACGATGGAGGGAGCAGAGGGCAGCAAGTGAAGCAAGAAGAGGATGATGAGCACTGGTGTTTTCTAAAGATGGGAACGACGATGCACGTACGGACTGATGTCTTGGGGCTACCTAGGACCTTTTACTTCACCTCTAAGTTTTCTCCCACAGCCAGAGTCCGTAGATGACCAGGCTAAAGACATGAAAGTTTTGGTGATGAGGAATGGGAGACTTTCGATAAAGCTGTTCATTCCATTCAGATTGCTTTTAATAAAGGCTAAATGCTTGAAAGTTTTGGTGATGAGGAATGGTAGACTTTCGATAAAGCTGTTCATTCCATTCAGACTGCTTTTAATAAAGGCTAAAGGCTAACCCAACTTTCATGGGAGCTCACAACAAAACGTAGGGGGGTCATTTTGGTTTGTATGATATGTACAGAACTCTCATCAGAATCATAATATAATTTGATGGAAAGTATTGCATACACATGATTGACAATAATTGGTATAATTCATGAAATACACTAGAAAAACCAGTCATTATCTGTAAAAGTAGATAAAAACAAATGAACATGAAAATTAGCAACAAGAATTACAGTAGCCTTCAAATCCCTATATATCACACCTCCACTCTATTTCATCTGGGCTAACTAAGCAATTGCCCGCAACTCATGAGGTTCGGGGAATCAAAAGCAAAGATTAAATTAAAACTACAAAACAAACAAATGCACAATCTTTCTAGGGAACTCTAGCTACCAGCAGATGAACCCATGAACACTGAGTGGCTAAGAAGGATTGGATTGGGCTGCGCGGCAGCCGGAGTGCATGAAGCCAGCGACGGCCGATAACGCAAGTCCACGGCGGCAGACGGGCGGAGCCCAACGATGCGCACAGCGCACGCGACCTCACGCTGACCGGCGACAACATTCAGTGTGAGCTGCTTGATTGTTTTCCTTCTCTAATAGAAAGGCCGAAAAGAAAGATTAAAGCTTGATAGATCATCACGTGCATTGATTGGACCTTCAGGCTCTGAAAAATTGTTTGGACCAAGGGGGGCCGTCGCCCATGTTTGCCGACACGTAGCTCCGCCAGTGTGTCCAGGCCAGCTGCAACGATGGAGGGAGCAGAGGGCAGCAAGTGAAGCAAGAGGATGATGAGCACTGGTGTTTTCTAAAGATGGGAACGACGATGCACGTACGGACTGATGTCTTGGGGCTACCTAGGACCTTTTACTTAACCTGAGGTGCATTAGTTTTGTTGGGGTCAGGTGTTTTTAAGCCCTATAATAGTTGTGTGGTTTTTGGGCTCAATTTCTAGTCAAAAAAAAGGACGACAGTTGTTTTTATTTCTCTCCTCCTAATACAATTTCGGCCAAGCTTTTGCCGTCTTTTTGAAAAAAAAGACTAAAGCTATCGTTCACTCGAGCAGTTTAGCAGTCCTCGTCACTCGATTATTTCTCTGAAACCCGGCTAGTCCAGCGAGCTCAGGTTCAGGTTTGGAATTGGGGTTTTCATCAGGGACAACGCCAGGCCTAGGCCTTGTTCGGTTGAGAGGGATTAAATCTCCAAGGGGAACTAATCCAGAGAGGGATTGAGTGAATCCCTCCCATGTCACTCAAACCCCTCAGGGAATCCCTTCTTCCTGTAATCCCTCTCTATGTTCGGTTTTGGCTGGGGTGTTGGGTTTGGTTGGCAACTTATCCACAGGACGCCTCCATGCTTGGAGTCAAATATTCACACAGATGTAGCCAATTGTTATTAGGTCACATTCGCACAAATGCATCATGAGGACACAAGAAATCAAGAGTGTGGCAATAGGAACTTGCAGTTGCAGAGGTAGAAAGCGAAACAATGGGAACCTGCAGAGCTACAAACAATGCCAAGAATGTCTCAAAAAAGAACAAATTCATAACCACCATGGACTGCACACCTATCTGGCGATGTCAGCTCTCTGAATCTCTGGTACTCGGCGACGAGTACGCCACGACGAGCACGGTCATTTCAATAACATTCGATCTCCTCGGAGTGATTGGGAGCGGGAGGGCATGAGCGCCACCCAAGCTGCGCAATGCGCGCCAGGTGGAGGGTAGCTCCCATCATCCCGCAGCACCTTCCTCCAGCGCCGCTAGACATCTGGACACCCCTTCTCCAGGTGCGCTCTTCCGCGACCTTGTCCTCTCTGACTTCTTCCATGAATCCCCTGCCACCCCTCTTTACATTCAGTCGGGGCCTCCCCCTTCTGGATTGCCCACGGTAGGTCTCCTCGCTCGGTCTCCTGCGCTATGGTGAAAAACGCTCTCAACTTCTCATTCTCCCCCCTCCCTTTCGTTTTCCAGGCTTCCAGACCTGCCCTGGCATCTTCATGGCCGCGGCATGTGACTGCAATGTGGCAAACTACATTGTTGGCCGTGGCAACTGCAAGCTCGGAGACCTTCACCTCACCCTCTTCCTTGACCTCCCCTCCATTGCTGTGTTCCTCCGCCAGGCCGACGCTGGGGACGACAACCCGCCTCAATATTCAAACGCCCCTGCACCATTTTGGCGTGATGGGCCAGGGGAAACTTGCTCACCTGGGCCTGCTCTGAATCGCCCCTCTAACCAGGATGGGCCAGGGAAAACTTCCTCTCCTAGGCCTGCTCCAGATCTCCCCTCTAACGGGGCCCTTGCTCCCAAGCCGGGCCATAGTCACTCTGCCTACCCCCATCCTGGTCCCGATGCCCATCGGCCCCGCCACAATTTCTGTGGACATGACCAAGTCAAGGTGCACCCATCCCCCCTAAATTAAACGATCCACCCTCGGTTGACGCAAGGGACACTGTTGCCACACCGCGTAGCGGTGCCTCGCCTGTCGCCTTAACTCCTCTTGAGCTCCCACCCCCTCCCTCTCTGGCATCTAATCTTAACAGCGCCGCCCTCGATTCTACGCCCCGGTGTGATGGCCGAGTTAACACTTCCCACAGTGGTGAGCAGACGGCCACTATTGCCATGGCCGGAGATCACGCTCTCCCCCCTACGACTGGGAAATTCAAGACAACAATACCCTCATCCCCTTTTCCAATCCGGCGACGCCTCACCACGCCACTGTTCTCTCATCTTCCACTGTTGACATCCCTGCTCGGCATGTCATGGGCTCTCCTTCCTCGTACCTGGCTGTGCTCCTCTCTCCCACCTCGGGCTATTTATGGTGCTGCCGACAAGCTACGCCATCGCAACTGCTTGCTCCCACCTTTCTAGCAGCCAATGCTTCTGCTGCCTCTCCACTGACCACTTGGTCGCTGACTACCATGACCCTATCAAGTGCCAGGTGTGCCTTTGCACTGGCCATCGCAGCTTCAGGTGCACCATGGCTGGCACCCCCCGCGGCCTCTAAGACCACCTCTCCAGGTGGTCCCCTCCACCTCACCGCTCCTCCTCCCCAACCCTCACCATGAGCTGAACTGGCCAAGCCTGTGCTGCCTGGAGCTCCTCGGTGGTGGATCGGCGCACCTGGGCCAAGCCCCCTCTCCTCCTCCAGCCAGGGGCTCTTGGTCCTGCTCTCCCCCAGCATGCTAGGATAGCACCCCCACACCGCGCTGCGAGCGTAGCCGCTCCCCCTTGGTTCGCCTCCTTGACGTCAATAGCCGCGGCCACATGTCCCCCGCCATCCTGCGTGGTGCATGCCCACTCCTATCCCTGTTGACACAAAATGTGACGCACTGTGCCCCACACACAGCAAGCCGGAAAGCGTAGCTTCAATTGGGTGCCCGGGTGCTTCGTGATCCGGAAACGTGCCAGTCAGTTTGACCTGAAAAAAACTAACAAGGGATAAAACAGTTAAATGCCAAACCGGAACATGTCGGGTGAGACCAGACAGTTCCATATATACGGCCCTGAAGCCACTTACAACGACATACAGCTATAGAAAGCTATCTGCCAGCAAGTTTATAAACCATTCGGCTAATCGTAAGATGAGCATACGTAAAGATCCGATTGCCGAATGCATGTGCATGGGAAGACATGTTTGAACAAGTGAAATTAATCATGAGTTAATGCATAACCAAGCTCAGCAATCCAGCCGAGTTGGGGTCCATGAAGAAGGAACGTGCAAATAAACACGATTAAACTAATCTAAAACCTGCATCTGCCGCACGACACCTAGTTTCGTCAAAGCTTAAACGTAATTAACATGCATGAACCCACAACATGTGACAATCTAGATTAAAATAATTCAGCCATTACGAGCATGTTATCTATTTGCAAAGGTAATACGAAAGTAATGATCATTGAAGCACGAATAAAACCATAAGAGAGGGCCGAACAATATCAATCTAGATTGGGAAGAAGTGTGTTACAAATATATAAAATATTTAAAACATGCAACACAGGATAACTTAATGAATCTATTTAGATTTTGCCGTATCTAATAGAGCCGATAACTATCTTGCCTTCACTAAGCATATTGAGCAAACGCCTGCCACACGGTATCTACTCATAAACAAAGCATAAGCAAAGACTTCTTGCTTGTCAAACAAAGATCTGCCGCACGATCATTGAAAACAAAAAAGACTACTTGCATCACGTCTAAATCCACCGCATGATACTAAACATGATAACAAGGTTGTCGGAACTTACGGAGGTCGACGGATCGATGACTCCTCTCGAAGAACTCGATGACACGACAAAAGGACTCAAAAGTTGGCACGGGGCCGGTTGTATTGATTTGGTTGTGAACCCCTATTACAATGGTCGAGGGTCAATATTTATACCCTAGACAAAACACGAGTCCTAAAAGACTACGACTTACAAAGGAACTCTTAAACAAACTTGGAAACTACGATTCCTTGCCCTAAACTCTCAGAGTCCTTTATTATTACGACTTTCATCTTTTCGATCGGCTTTGCTTGCCATCTTCTGCTTTCCCGAATGGAGTCACCACCTTTCGAAGTAACCGAGCGCATGGGGCATTTAGCCGACCGCTTCGTTTTTGTTTGCCGAATGTCCTTCTTCCCCTGTATGCGGGT